TCTTCAGCCTAGAAAAGTGCAGGCTCAGGGGTGATCTGGTGGCCACCTATAAGTTTATCGGGGTGCTCATCAGGATCTGGGGGAACATCTGTTCACCAGAGCATCCCAAGGGATGACAAGATCGAATGGCCACAAACTCCGCTGCGACCGATTCAGGCTGGACATAAGAAAGAACTTCTTCACTGTCCAAACCTCCAAGTTTTGGAATAGACTGCTACCAGAGGCAGCTCAAGCACCCACTCTGAATGCCTTCAAGACACATTTGGATGCTTATCTTGCTGGGATCATAGGATCCCTGCTGACTTCCTGCCCATGGGGCAGGACTCGATGATCTCCTGGGGTCCCTTCCAGCCCAATTGTCTATGAAATCCATGAACTCTTTCATCAACTACACATTGTTATTATCAAAATCTGGAAAATAAATTCCCAGTGACTTGAGTGATGCCAGAATTGTTACCATATTCAAGAAAGGAGATAGATCAGACTGCAGAAATGATCATGGTATTCCTTCTTCTACATAGCTGGAGATCAAGATCCGTACATATATTCTCCTCAAGAGACTCACTTTCCTTGCCAAGGAGATTCTATCCAAATCCCAGTGTGGTTTCAGACCACTCACTCAGAGGTGCAACTGATGTGATCTTTGTTGCTAGACAGCTGTAGAAGAAGTTAAGATTTTGGTGTTGTTCACAGCGTATGGCCTTCCTTGACCTAAGACCTTTGATTCAAATCAGTTAGAGAGACCCTATGGAAGATCCTGATGAGATCTGAATGCCCGCCAAAATTTGTTACCATTATCAGACTTTTTCACAACAACGTGACAGGAATTATCCTAAGCAATGGCTCAGAAATGCATCCCTTCATTATTAAAACTGGAATCAAGAAATGCTGTGTACACCAAGGAGTACACCAATACTTTTTTCCACCTCTATCACAACTATTCCACATCTCATTCCTGAGACGCTTCCAAAATCATACCTTTGATTATCATGACACAGGACCTAAACTCAACTTGTTTACCAGGCAGTTGTGATTCCTACCTTGTTGTATGGGTGTGAAACTTGGATGACATGGGAAAAGCCTGAAAGCTTTCAAATGTTACCATCAGTGGTGTTTGGAAAATCCTCCATATCAATTGGAAGGAGAGAACAACAAATGCCAGTATTCTGGTTCAAGCAAACACCTCCAGCATTAGCACCATGTTTATACAGCACCAGTTCATCATGTCGTAACGATGCCTGACAACCAGCTCCCAAAACAGGTCCTACACTCCCAACTCACCAGTGATCACTGCTTCAGAGGTGGGCAAAAGAAGAAAGTCAAGGACACCTTGAAAGCCAATCTGAAAAAGTGTAATATTAACATCAATACCTGGGAGACTCAAGTAGTGAATTGTTCCCCATGGTGCCAAGATGTATGACAAAGCCTCAGTCATTTTGAGCAAACGCACCTCACTAGGGAGGTGGACAGATGAAACAAAGGAAAGAGCTGTAACCTGACATCACCAGGATCTACTCCTTACTCTGGGAACTATTTGTCAGACCTGCTGTTGAACATCTGGATCTCAGATTGAGTTACTCAGTCATCTATGGACTCACTGATGACGTTCCTATTTACTGGAAGACTGTCATCCTCATATCAAGGGTCTGATGATGAGACGTTCCGGAACTTCACAGCTCTGGTGGTCGGAAACTATTTTCTGATTTATTCATGGTCAATTTACATCTATTTGTTCTGTGCCAACATTGTCCTTTAATTTTAATGGTTCTTCTCATTCCCTCCAGCATTATTTCTCCTCCCCACTGTATTTATAGAAAGTAACTGAATTCCCCATGGTCTTTTAATCTCTTCTCACTGCCATCCCATTTCTATGCACCCAGATGAATAAATAAAAAGCATTTCAGTGATCCCTACCAGCCACCTATGTTAGCAATACAATAGTATGCTGCTATTTAAATAAGTATTGTCAACAACAACAAAAAATCAAGGTTAAACTGAAAGAAATTATATGAAAAACAATCTGTTTCTAGTATCTCCTTTGTGCATGAGACAGGACTTTCTTTGCAGTCAGCCATGGGTGCCCTATTGACTATATTGGTTTTCCCACACAGCAACAAGGCAGCAAATTTCAAACAATGTCTCCAAGTTGGAAACTGTTTTAAAAGCTCATTTTCCAGACTGAATCATTAGTATAACTAGGTATTCTTGGAGCGAAAGAAAGTTCCAGCTGGAGAGATGTCAATAATCCTCACCCTGACTGAAAGGGCATGAAGACAGCAGAGATTGTGTTCTCAGTTTTTAGGGTCTACGGTGAAGTGGACTACAGGTTTGCTAGATAAACAAAGGATACCTTCTGGGCAATCTAGAACTGCATTAATAGTGTGCTCTAGATCATATGAGCAAGCTCGCTCTTGTCATTGGATTAGTATGTCTGACTGCGTCAAATTCCTCTTTAGCTATTCCATTGCAAGTATCTGCTTAAGTTAGATCGGTAGTTACCTGGTTGGCCTGCTAATGATGCTTCTGCCTTGGTTAAAGTCTCCAACATGCCTTCTGTTAGGTCAGGACATTTTCCAATTACAGCATAACCATTCCAGATATACATCATTTCCTAAGAGAAACCAGAGAACATGAACCTCATTAATCTGGCAGTGAAGAGATGAAGTTAGCAAATTTAGATTTTCTCAACAAAGTGCAAAAAATATCACAAGTCTCTTACTAAAAGCAGATATTACTGATAATATGTTGTCAGTGTGATTGATCATTGTGAGCATTTTTGTTGGAAGAGATTTACGAAGCCCCATCTAATTCAACTCTACGCCAGTGCAGATCATTGAGTAAAACATCAACCCCATCTCTGTAGTTGATGAGGACAGCTACCAAGTTGAGAGACTAAAGGAATAGATAACTCAAAGGCTGCATCCCTTCATTAATTTCCCTTCTTGGTCTGTGGTTCTAATGAAGACCAGGTTATTAATAACTAATAGTTATGCCTTATTAGTTCCTCAAATCCACCAGTCTTTACATTAACCTACAGAATTCTACAGCATGGATATATTTCTTTATTAAATCCCTGGGGCTTGTTTAAAAAAAATCTATGGAAAGCATCTCTTTCTTATTAAATTGTGTAAATTTGGGAGATACATTCTACTGAACCCAACTGGTTTAATTTCCATCTGATTCTACACGGCTTTTCCGTGGGTGTGTTTCACTGGGTTATATAAAATAAACCTACTGTTCCCTTCCAACTTCTCATATAAGATGTTCCCATCACAACAACCATTACAAATAGCACTAGAAGCAAAGTTAAGGAAGGAACCATCACGCAGACTTACAACTTCCCATTTCACATTTTCCAAAAGCTTTGCTTAATTTGAATGTCTTAATGTAAATGGCTCTTATTCTTCAGCATCTGTATAACAGTAGTTTCATTTGAGAGCTGTCTGTATAGGAACACGTTAATGTAGGTGGATTACGCAGTGCTTTAACGCAAGAGCACTCCTGCTTTAGCTGAGCTATTCTGCAATGATACTGGAGGCTATGCTGTACTTGCTTGTTTCTAGTCAAGATTCAGTTACTAAGATGGGTAAAAAAGTTCTCAGGCTGCATTTATTCCATACATTAAATCAAAATATTTTAGGCTAAATCTAAGTTAACAACCTACTTCTCACCAGCTAATTCCTTCACATGCAATCAAGTCCTATAATTGACAGGAACTCAGTTAAAATTCTGCACCCCAGTCCCACAAATCCCCTGGTGTTTAACTGTTAGGGAGTGCCACCTGCTGCCTTGAGAGTGGAACCGCAGAAGAAGGAAACCAAAGACAGACTGTTCCAGTCCGCACTCAGCTACTGTCAGTGGGCGTGGACAGACATAACCATTCAAACATTTCAAAGGGCCCCCTGTACATGTGTGAAAAGTTCTCAGAATGGCTAAAGGGCTGCAGAGGAGGATCTTTTTATATGAAGTGCTATGTTGGAGCGCAGATATATGTTGTAGTCGCGTTGGTCTAAGAAACAGACAAATAAAACTCTTGGGCTAAAGGCAGTATCTTCTGGTGAGCTTCACTTTTTGTTACTTCTGGGCAGGCACAGGGGACCCATAGGTGCACCAGCATCCCACAGTGCTCTGCTCTCTGTTTTCCAGTGCCAGGTGCTTCAGCCCCAGCCCCCTCTACCTTTCCACTGGAAGGGGTTGGGGTGGACAGGTTCTGGGAATCTGGGGCTAGAATTCCTGTAGCAGGAGCCTCACACTACAACCAGAAGCATGCTGGGGTTCCCAGCATGGGCAGCAATCCCAGCATTATAGTGCATTCCCTGTACATCACTGCTCTGGCCCCTCCAATAGACCCCACACACCCATGCTGTCCCCAGAGCTTGGTCCTTCAGTCCCCGCCCCCCAAATCCTTTTCATAGTTGGTCGGGTCGGAAGGGACCCGAGTAGATCATCAAGTCTGACCCCCTGCCACATGGCATGCTGCTTTGTGATTGCAGAGGTTAACTTGCACCACTTGATTATATGGCAAGTCCCTGCTCTCTCTGCTGTGAAGGTTTATAGCTGAAGGCCAGGATTCAACCAATTCAGCAAAGCAAAATAGCAATTAGCAGACTATATACTATTCGGCTCATCTCTCCTGAACCATGTAAAGTCATTCTGTCTATCCGCTGTCAGTTCATCCAATTCAGTATACCTCCTAAGTGTTTTGTCTACTTCAGTTTAAATACGTTTATACACACGCTCTGAGGTGGCGGGGGGGAGTGACTAAGCTTACAAGCTTTAGTTAAACTCCCCTCACTACCATTTTTCAGTGGGGGGATGCTGATATAATGGCAAGCCATATGAGGAAAGACTGAGGGACTTGGGTCTCTTCAGCCTAAAAAAGAGAAGGCTGAGAGGGGACTTGGTAGCAGCTTACCGCTAGATCAGGGGAAAATATCAAGGGCTCAGAAAACAACTGTTCGCCAGGCCACCCCTGGGGAATACCAGGAGTAAGGCCATAAACTCCTGGAAGACCATTTCAGGCTTAACACTAGGAA